AACACCGATTTAAAAGTGCACTTTGACTGATTCTGATCCGGCTGACTTCAACAGATTATACTGACTTGGGCCAAACCGTTTCCTCTGGATATCCAGAAAAAGAACAATATTATTTGCTTTGCATTTTTGTAAAGGATCCAGTGTTGTTTTATTCAAATGCTTGACAATTTCAGTTTTTCCCCTGGGAGTGGTGGGGTGTTCATAAAAAGTTTCAGAAAAATGCAACTTGCAATTTACTGAACTTGCGCAAGGTGTGTGTGTGTGTTCTATGAATATACTCTAATTTACAGATGTGCACTCAAATCTATCTTCTTACAATTCTAGATTAACGTGTATCCAGGAGTGGGTCACATGGTTACACTACTTTTTCCAAAGGTCCTTTTTGTCTTTGTACACAGTGTTTAAATATCCTCAAAATTCACAAATTACATTTTCTTAAATTATTACATGTTCCAGAAAGTAACTGCTTCAGAGTTAGGCAGGACCTCTTATAATGCAATTGTAACTTTTAATGTCCAATCAAATAAGGGCGCATGTATTGCAGCAAGCTGAACAAATTAAGTTACATATCTCTTTAAAACAACTAGGAAGTAACTTGTAGTAACAAAGATTTACCACAGGATGTCAGCCTTTGAGCAAAGTGTCAAAGAGTCTCACATGAAACCAAAAAAAAATTTAAAAAGTGGAATAGTTTGATGTGGTTTCTGGAAACTAAAAATAAATTAACTTCCAACTTCTCTTTAGGTTGATTTTATATACTTGATTTAAGCAAGAAGAGAGAGTCGCATTAACATACATGCATCCATAGAAAAAAAGATTTTCAATGTTCAACAGAGTTAGAAGTTGAAGAAGCAGGAAGTTAGCTCGCTATCATTTCTATCTAAAGATGATTTGCCATGTACTGACCCAGAGATTTCTGAAAAACTAAAACATATGGCTTGTCAGACATTAATAAAGACAGAAAGAAATTAAGTAGTGTCAGTGTTTGTATTGAAGTTGGGCTAGCTGGCATGTAATGATATGCTACCTGATGGCTAGCTACAATGCTATGGTTAGAATAATGAAATAATAGAACATAAATAAATCAGCACAGTGAAGATGGGGGATGAAGGTAATTTTTTTTTCTTTACCCAATGGGCAGAAAAAAATGCAATCGTATGGCAGGGCAAAGATACTGAAAACAGACCAAACCTCAGTCAAAATATCACCTGAGATGATCCATCCAAAACATGTGTTCAGTCACTAATATGACAGATTATGGCCACTCTTGGTAGGTTTATCATTTTTATTTCTTTTAAAATAATAAAAAAGGATATGCAATGTAGATTTTCAGCATGATTTTGTCTGTGATTGTCTTTTGATCTATGACCAAGCTCAAATTGATTTGGTGCTGATAGGGGCTCCTATTAACCTGAAAAACTTCTGGAGGAAAGGTGAATGAATTATTAATGATGCACCTAAACGTGATAATAAATACAAGTGCTGTGAAGAGATCTGAACAGATATCACATACTTTTTATACATTTGCAGTTTTCCTCTTTTCTATGCAGTCACCATGATTAGTCCTTGCCTCCTCATCTCCTTTCTCACTGTGCTTATCTTCCAGTGTTGGGGAGTAATGGAATGCATGTACCAGCGTTAAGTATTTAAAATACAAATTATTTGTTAATTACCAGGGCAGAGAGTGATCCTGAGAAGGTGACTGTCGTAGTGTTCAGACGATGCATTTGATAACCTGTTGCTTTCATTCGTTAGATACTCTGCAAAAACAGCAACACCCGCCATTTGAAAAAAGAAAATGCAATTTCATATTGAAGTTAGGATTCTGAAATCAGGTCTTTGCCATAAGCTCTCTTTTATGATATTCTTGTCACTAAATTGCCCCCTGTGGCTTTTTGTGTGGAATCACTGGCCTCAATAGTGGCTAAAACATTTGCCCAGTACCACATGCAAAGTGGTTAGCACTATTCTTCACATTGAGACGGTCCTGGGCTTAAACCCAGGCAGGCTGAGCTTACATGAGTTTTATCTGGGATCTTTAAATTATCCTGTAATTTCATTGTTCTTGACAATGACAATAAATAAATACTATCTTGACCACACTTGCAATAGAGATTCAAAGTCAGATCTACTGCACTAACAAAGAAAGAC